AATCAAAACTTTTATTATTAGAATGATAAAATTTGATTAAAAAAATTATTTATCAACTTTTCACAAAAATACTCAGACACAATAGTAAAGTATAATATTATTTTTGAACAAAAAAAGAATTAATGATGCTTTAGTAAAGAATTATTTTTTATATTTTAGTAAAAAACTATGTTGCAAAGAAAGTATATAAATAAATAACTGTGAAAGATATATTTGTAAACGTATATTTTGTAATAAAATCATGCAAAATTTGTTATTTCTAATATATGAAACCAAACAATATATAAGAAATAATATTTACATAACTAATGCAAACATCAAGTATTAATAATATACTCTATTTTACATATCTCTTATACACGTTTTTTTTAACAAAACATATGTATTATATTCATTGACTTAATATACACCTAGATGCTAATAATTTCTCATATATATGTAAGATATCTTTTGTATATCTGCACGAAAGAAGTATTTCATTTAAATAACCACTAATATAATGTTATACTCCGATAGACTACAAAATTTTATGTTACCAAATACCAACAGTAGAACTTTCTGGGACGTTCGGTTTTTTTATCGTTTATTTTGCTTTTTATTTTGTACAAAATCTAATACTTAAGTAATTCAAAGAAAAAAAATTGCATTTGACTTTTCTTCCACTTCTGCATGCAAATTTATGACTTAAATTTCAACATAGGTTTCAGTTATATATGATTATAAAGTGTGATAAGCAGAAAACTTTTTTTTTTACATAGATTTTGTTAAATTTATTAGTGTTCAATAAATTCTTTACAATAAATGAAACTAAATAAAGTGAATAAAAATTAAAGGAAGATAGTGGATGGGTTAGCCGCATGAAGATTGTTAACTAACCTGGGAGTCGGAGGTTGTAGCCTGCCTTTATCACCGACCCCACCATCCATCGACACCCATTTAAAAGCGAGTACTCAAATTATCCCATCAGCTATTTGTACTCGCACTCGAAATATCACGCGCCCCTCTTCCTTGTGTCCTCCATTTCTCCAATTTCCCTAACTTCTCTCTCTCACATCGAATTCCTCTTTTCTCTCTCTAAATTTCATTTTCTTCCTTCTTTCTTTCTTTTTCTTTTCTATTCTATATAAGATAAGAAAAGAATGTCGTCGGCCGGAGCAGATGGTGGCGGAGGCGCTGCCGGAAATCAACCACAGAATTACCATTGCTACCAATGTGAACAGACAGTTACCATTACGCCATCACCAAATTCAGAGCTCTCATGCCCAAATTGCAATGGTACGTTTTTAGAAGAATCGGAAACCGCACCACCTTCCAACCCTAATCCCAATACTCATCCCTTCTTCTCCGCCGCCACTACCGATGACCTACCTTTTGGAGGTGGATTTCCGATTGTTTTCTCTTCAAACGCTGCTTCACCTGCCGGTGGTGCTGTCGGTTTTGATGATCTTTCTGCTTTATTTGGAGGTATGGCTGGTGGTTCCGCTGCTTTACCAGGTCGATCCCCCAATCAATTTGACCCTTTCGCTTTCCTAAACAACTATTTTAGTAGTATGAGGGGTGGGAATATTCAGTTAATCTTCGAGAATCATCCTGATGGAGGCGGTGGTGGAGCTGGTGGTGATTTTAGGATTCCGGGGAATCTAGGTGACTATTTTCTAGGGCCTGGGCTTGAGCAATTGATTCAACAGCTTGCTGAAAATGATCCAAATCGTCATGGTACACCTCCGGCTGCAAAGTCGGCTGTTGCTGGGCTTCCAGATATTAAGATCACTGAGGAGTTGTTGGATTCTGATTCATCTCAATGTGCAGTTTGTAAAGATACTTTTGAACTCGGCATGGAGGCAAAGCAGATACCTTGCAAACATATATATCATAAGGATTGTATAATGCCATGGCTGGAGTTGCACAATTCTTGCCCAGTGTGTCGATATGAGCTGCCTACTGATGATCCTGATTATGAGAACAGGAAGACATCACAGCAGCAGACTGCCAATACTAGTAATACAAATACCAACACTAGTAATAATAATACCAACAACAACAATACTGGTGTGATGTTTGGGGGTTTAGAAGGTGGGGGAGATCAGGACAGTTCTCAGACATCTAGTTCAGGGGAGAGGAGGCTTAGGATACCATTGCAATGGCTTTTCAGGGGACTTGGATCACCTGCTGAGACGAGCAACAGTGGAGGAGCAAGCAATGATGCTAACAATCGCAACAACAACAATGCTCCTAGTGGGGAGTCTAATCCAGGTTCTGGAGGGCAGCCGAGGCAGGAGGATCTCGATTAAAGTATGGAGTAGAGTTCTGAGGTTTTCTCCAAATCTTGCATGTTCATAGTTGTTACATTAAGTTTCTTGTATGCTAGTATTCGAGAATTACAAGTTCCCCATCCTTGTAATATATGGGAATTTCGGAAAATAATGTTTTTGATTGTTGATCATTTGCTTTGAGTTAGCCTTGAACGTATAAAAGATGATTGAAATCATCCACACATTAAATATGACACAAGACCTATAGTAAGAATATCTATTTTGACGGGTGTTAGATGTAACTAAAGATGTGGTTGAACAAGATTTTTCAGCAGTCAGTCCACTTCCTTCAACATCAGTTTGGCTTAGCTTTAGCGCCTTATCGTTTTGTATCTTTGAGTGGTGAACTATCAATCATGATGCATGATCCATTCTTTTGAAAACTAAAGGAAACAGGTACACAAAGTTGTTGACAAGGAGGGTATGGACTCATTTGGGTAATTTTGTTTTAATTCTTACGAACTTAATCTTCAGTTTGTATAGAGTATCTATCTTAGTTGCTATGTCCTTGGAGCATTCTTAACCAATCTATAGTGAAATGTGCAACTGTTCTTCACCGCTATTACCGTTACGTTTAAAACAAGTATAATCATTAAACATATATATTCACATTCCTTTTCTGTCTCTTGTGCTAAGTTGCTCGGACACGGGTGCGGGTATCCGATGCAGATGTGAATCCGAGGGTTGGATTTGGCAAAATCTAAATTTTACAATTATGAGGTACGGATCTAGGTATAGATACGGGCAAATAATCCAAGATATATAAATAGAGCTAAAAAATATTCTAAATTCGGAAAGATCTTCTAGGTCGTCTTCTCCAAGACCCCCCAACTTCTTCTATCTAGCTCTCTGGTTCTTCCCCTCAAAAATTAACAAAAGGAAGTGATTCAAGGCCTTCCACCAACTCTCCTTACAGATTGTTGCTACTGTCTGCCAAAAGTAAGAACACAACTGCTTGAATTCATAGTTTCTCTATGTTTGGCTTGAAACGTGAAGCAACAAATATTGATCAAGAGGAAAGGCTAAAAAGGAGATTTTGAGAAACCAAAATCATAATTTTCCCCCAATTTTGTCCATGGTCTCTGGTCAAAGTTTCCAATGGTAGGTTGACCGAATCCCACATGTATCCCACACCCGTCTCATGTTGACACGGGTGCGCTAGCAAAAATAAGAAATACTCGCAACTTAGCTCTGATGTCCTTGCTGGAGGAAGTAGACATATGTTCTACTGAATACAATGTGTATTTCAAGTCAAAATGTGCTATTCACTTGGCTGACGTTTTTCTTCCCGCGTATTTATGACTCAGTTCCTTTACGTTGTGATAATTATTTTTTGACATCTTGTTTTTCAAGAGGTAGGGTGTGTGAGTCTCGTTGCTCCCATCTCTCTCATATTGCCACTAGAAAAAAGTCTTGTCATATTGATGCTATTTTTGTTCCTTGCTCTGTAATGTTCATTCATTTGAATAGTGTAGCTGCATTTTTATCTACTCTAGTTCAGGGCTTATCCTTTTTTTCCTTAGCTCAAAGCTTATCGTATAATTTGTCTTGGGATCAATTTCAGTTGTTTCAGATCAAGTTATTCTTACCTTCACATCATAACTTTAGACATACTTTGGACTTGCTTTTTTTTGAAATATCGTCCTTACCATGTTTGGTTTTCACCCAGATTCTTCTTACTCTTATAAACATCCTTCTCATGTCATGGCGACTTCTCTTAACCTCCCCAGGAGCTCCCTTGTATGTCATGGTTTTTTAATTCTCAGCTAAAACGGGATTAAAGAGATGAGAGGCGACTGGAGTGCAGAGAGGGGAGGTTGGGGAAATGCAATTGTGTAAATTTTCATTGTGGTTAGTGTTTTCATATATGCATTTTTGCATTCTCACTTTGTGATTCAGCAATTTGGAAGTGTTGTATATCCCGGCTGAGGTGACAGTAATTTATTTGTTATTCTCTTATCATGTTTCAAAATGGTGCGTTAAAGAGGCTATTTAGCAGTCATGTATTGTTGTGCAGTATCATATCTCTATCAGTAATGACTTGCTTATTGGATTTTCATCTTTCATCTTCTGGCAGGATAGCCCTTGTATCTCAAGTTGTAAAAGAAAGCGAGAAGTAGATAGTGTGCCAGTTATAAAGATTGTTGATAGAAAAAAGAAGGTTCGGTCCAGTTTCACATTATTGTATTCTCTCCTTTACAATTTTATCTGTTGGCTTTGAAGGTAATTATGGTTGCACTAAATCAATTAGATATTGGAGCTCGTCATCGTAATTAATATTTTACAAAAGCAAAAACTAATGTTACCAGTGATACTTGAAAAGGAATTGCCGTAAATTCCCTTGTATCCTATTCTAATGCTTACGACGACGACATATTCATTAAGATTCTTGATTTGACGATGAGTTGATATAATATACGTAATATTGAATCCACCTAATGGAATTATAAGTAATAGAATTAAATCAATGTCAACGTTAAGAATGTCAGAATCAAATGGTTGTTGCAAATATCCATTGTGTTGCCAAACAAACGACAGTTGTGGTTGAATAAAGTACAAGACGATGAAGGCGTACTATTTAGTATTAACGCAAAAATATAGACACAAGTTTTGTACAAGTTATTTGGTTGTCCCGTTATTTTCTTACGTTGATGTCTTGTCTAGTGCTATATATGTATAATAACAACTATTTAACAGCCAAACCAGCAAAGTATTTTTTTATCTTTGATCTGTTTCCACTCAACTTTGGAGTAAAGACCAAACTAGGTAGTCGTAGAGTAAGTTTTAGATCTCACTGTGATAAACCAAACGGATGAATTACTGTCATACTATTCTCAAACTCCTCCTAACCAAGAAATATTTCAGACAAACTATGCTATTAAATATTACACTGGTCATATTAGTGAGAGAGTCATACTACAAAAGAACATCCCAGGCAACTGGAGCCATAAACTTCACCCTCGATTAAAAGATAATAAAGAAAGCAGTAATCTATATCATCTATCTAATGCTTTCAAAAATTGAATCCTCATTACAGCCGCAGAGATGGAGAAGAATCCTGTTTATTACTACCACCTGTTCTTGGGTGGTTTGACTTTATAAATTCTGACTATCCAATTAGAAGTCGTGAACGCCTCTTCCAAGTATTCAAGTTTGATGTCCTTGTTTCCTATTTCAACTCCCCTGGCTCTATCATATCTGGAGCATAAACAGACATTGGGGAAGGCATTAGTATTCCAGTAATAATGTCTCTTCAAATAAGCCATAAACCCACAAAAGTTTCAAAACAAGTTGGATTAGTACTAAAAAATTAAAACGTTTCTGTTGTTTCCTGGAAACCAATTTGATCTCTAAAAGACACAAAAAGGGATGTCCTCAGTACAAAATCAACATGTCATTCTGATAATTGTATTTGCACACATACAAAAATGTCTGAAGTGTTTTCAAGCTTCAAATGATATTTTTCCACATCTTTTTTTCTAAAACTCTAATTTTCATAAAGCAAATCCTAATGTGCAGAGTTTTTTTTAGAAAAACCCAAACCCAGATCAGATCTAACAAAACAAAACCCTACAAAACAAATAAGAATCTCTGTGGAAACAGCAGAATTTGTAACTTCATGTTAACCATTGTCAGAATGTTAGGAATCAACAATTTGGTAACCTCATTTATCCTATGATTATCTTTCGCCAACTCCCACCCTACCACTTGTTCCCAAAAGCGCAAAAAGGGGGCTTAATAATTCCAATTTTTTTTTTTGATAACCGAGAAATCCGTCTCTGACCCGCCCTTTGGACCAATCACAGCCTTCTAAACTCGGTGGATAATGGAAACGCCCCTCTACCCTTCTCCACTTAAAATTGGGCTTCGCTTTGCGTGGTGTGGGGCTTGAACCTGCAACCTAAGCCACAAATCCTCCACCTTTTGCCACTCGAGCTAGGCCTTGGGGGCGACTTAATAATTCTAAGTGGAAATATGTATGATATCAATAATGCTCTAAAAGATCCACCACAAAACCAGAAAGCACAATGATGCCTCTGATGATCATGAGGAATAGTGAGGTAAGTAACTTACCCAGGAGGCTGGCCATATTCTGTTGTCAGCTCACCAAAGCGATAATAAGATAGCTTGTACCTAATCATGAAACATCAGTTGTATAAAATCAATCTCTGTGTATGAGAAGGAAGAAAGAGATTAAATAGTATATGAACTATGACAAACATAATTTAGACAAAAAATAAACTTCAGGAACCAAAATATGTTAGAAAGTAACAACAAAATGTAATAGGCTGCGCTCAAGTGACCAAAATACTGTTGGACAAGGATGAATCAATATACACAATGAATCATGAGTAAAGGGGAACTCACATCAGACAGTTCAACATCTTAGGCGCAGCACCTTTGTCAACACGATACTCGCCATTAACAAGGTAATCTGGTTCTTTGATGACGGGAAAAACTCCGCCACCTATCCTCACCATCCACAAGAATCTAGCACGAAATGGATGATTACAATTAAATTAGAATGAAGCCACAAGATAAGACCATCATTAAAGAAAGAACACGAGGAGATGAAACCCTATACCCTATACAAAAAAATATTCATCAACATACTAGTATACAAATATTTTTTGATAAGACATCTTTATATGCTTACACGGAAAAACTAATAACTAAAAAAGGTGAAAAGAATTTCACTGTAGGCCTGACATTACATATTAAGGAAAATAAGATACAGCACATGAGGTGAAATATTAGCAACCATGCTTCTTAAAAAAAAACTCCTTACTTGTTTATGTCATCAGATGAATACCCAGTTACACCTCCAAACACAACCAATACATAATCCACATCCAGTGATCTCATTATTTCATATGCTTCATCCTCATAAGATGACATTGCTCTTCCTACTGTAGCTATATGTGTGTTGTTCCAGGTATTATTATCCACAATCACAGTCCTGTTTCCCATGGCAGTGATCTGATAACCATAATCCCACCAAGACATCACCTTAGCATCCTGAGGAGTGTTTTGCCTCAGCCAAAAATATGCTTCACGGTAGTCATCGAAGATAACCCTATTCCCGTGGGCACCCCTGGCAGCTAGGACAATGGAGGGAGATGAGTATGCCTCTGACGTCACCCATGTGCAATGGATTGCATATCTAGTCAGCAAATAGAAAGCACCAACAAGCAATGCAATTGCTCCATTCTTTTGGTAGGGCAAAGACTGATCAAGCGCACCCTGTTTTAGTCATAATTATTTACAAAAGCAAGTTAGTTATAGGTCACAACTACTACTAGTTCCAAGATCAATTATGGTTGCAAATTTCTTGTTCACATCACCTCATTTGAAAGAAAATGCAGGAGTTGATAAGTTATATCATGTACTTAAAACAGTTAATTGCACGCAAAAAGATCAAATGTCATTACATTTATACTTTAGCCGAAGTACTTTATTTTTGTATCTAGAACAAAAACACACTTGATCGAAACTTCAATTCTACTGTTTTATCATTTTACATGACCTTTTTGGTGTACACAATTCAATGTAAATTTATTTCAGAAATAAAGATCTTCATGCCGTTAATAACACTATAGTAAAGAGACAATTCAATGTAGCATATACAAATTTTGAACTCAGCCCCATCCCATCATCCGTATTAGTGCACTGACAACTTAACAGTAAAAAATGCAGAAAGATAAGGAGAATCTCACAGCAAGAACAACCAAATCAGCTCGGATGACTAGGTGGTTAAAGGTAACACATCTTGCTTCATGAGTAAATATAAAATGAGAAGGGTTTCATAATTATATCATATTACCTTTTGGGCAATTATTAACTTTGCAAAAGAATTGGTATTCAGTATACATGGATAAAAGTTTGCTGCACTTCTTTGCACTACATTATTGGATCAGACAATAGCCAACCCGAAAAGGGATTTGCATAGAAGCAGATAACAACACAACTAGAGTAGCTGCAAATCAAAATAATTGGCTACTGTTTCCTAAATTCATGAACATTAACTCCTAATAGTCAGTAGGTGTCAATTTAGTTGCTTGCACATATTAAGACATCTTGGAACATAGACACATTACACAAGGAAGTTAAAGAACCAAACACCATATGTAGACCATTTAAGAGAAATTGAGTTAAGAGATGGCATAAAAAGGGGGAAAAGAATGTGTTAATGTTTCAGAGAAGGCAGCATATTTCAAACTTGAATGAAGTTGAAGAAACAAGAAGAACAAATTTTACCCTTCTCTATGGGGATCCTTTCAGACGTGTCCATTCAGACAAACCATCAAACAAAATTGTGTTTATTAAATGACCCTAAACTATTTAACACCAAAGATTTGGTTCCTGCTAATATGTCTTTAAGCTACTTAAATTAGTAGCAGTAAGAAGTTTGCATCGACTGGCTTCTTGTTAAGAAGATATAGAATCATCGTGTAATTTGAAGTATCAGGGAAAAACAATAACTAATCATATTCAGTGATGCTACCTTTGAGGAAGCCTTTGTGCTAGTTGTTCCTTTGCCGGAGCCAGCTTGAGTAGGTTTTGTTTTTGCCCTCACCAACAGACTTAAATTCTTGATAGTTGCCGAGACAGCAATAGCACTGATGAGGCATACCGCAGGTGTAGCAACAAGAATCAATCGAACCATGACCCCAGCAAAGTACATGCTGGTGAGGCCATACATCACAATAAATATAGTAGCATCTGACAGTCGTTTGAAGCAGAAATACAGACCCGCAGGGAAAAGGATTAGCAATATATGAAAATCAAACATGAAAGATGACCATGCGGTTGGTTGATGCTCTGAAACAGAAGCAATAATGGGAATATGGTCTTTCGCGTAAGTTGGATCCAGTAGTGAGTAAAACCGACCGGTCCATGGAGAGATATAACCAGAAGCAGTCCCAACTCCAAGAGCAATGACACCGACACTTATAGCACAAGTTAATGTTATCCTTAAGAAAGCTTGAAACAACTTCTGATCATTCAGTAGATGTTTCACCCAATCCAAGAAATAAAACACCTGCAACAAGATCAAAACTTAGTATTGAGAACAAGCTGTACAGCTTCTAAAAGCATCAGCAAAATCCTAACACCAATTGTAAGTCACGAGCAAAGAATAAAAGAACAGGCTGAAGGAGTAAAAGTGTCATGTGAAACAAATATCCATCGTCCAGACTCCAGATTAGATTTTCATGGGAAAAATATCAAATGTAGAGATGAAAAAATTTACAAGACAAGGAACAGAAATCCTCCGGGGGTAAGGAGTAAAGTAAAATGATATGCATTCCCATCAACCACCC